GAGATGAGGGAGAGCAACGGCTGAGTGTAGATGTGAGTGTTTGTGCAAGGAAGAGAGGGAGAGGGAGTGAAAGGGAAGTTAATCTGAGCGTTGTGGGTGAAAGAGGAGAAAGGGGAGGACAGCAGGTGGTTGAGTTCTCCCCCCACTCTCGTACCCCTCTCCTCCTCTACCTCACCTATTCATCTATTGTCGAGCAAATACTTCTCCCTCACTCCTTCACAAAGACCCCATCTGCCTCCTTTGTCTCTACCTCTCTCCCTTCCCCCATCAGTTCTCACTCTTCACCCAGAGTAAGAAAAAATTAAAAACTTTGTAGCTCAGTCACTGTCTCTTCTCGCTCTTTCCCCTTTGTTTCTTCTCTTATATTTACTTTTACTGTTTGAGAAACAACAGAAGATTATTAGAGAGAAAGATAGGTATGTAAACTGCTAAGTAAAATTGGCAGAACTGGAAGAAAGTTTCAGTTCTCTCTGTTAATGTCCATTTAGTGTCATTTAACCCCCACCTCCAATATGCATCTATGTGTGTCTAGATGTGTTGGAGATCTTTTTTTTTTTACTGTTATTATTATTATTATTTTGACATCAGGTCTCTTTAAAATAGTCTCTTAGGTCAGATAATGTGAGACTGACTGAAACTGCATCGCTTCTTCAGGCTCCCATTCAGCCCAGGCTAAAGTTACCCCAGTCTGGAGTAACTCGGTGACCCTACAACTCGGCTGGATTACAGTATTTATAAAACCTAATTCCATAGCAAAGGTAATAACTGTGCTACTGCCCTCTTAGGATATGTTACGTTAATGTTTTTCAAGATGTTTATCTCTGCAATCCTATCACAGTGCTACTTGCACCAGCATATTAAGGTATCTGGTTAACATCAACAGGACTTATATACGCTTCTTATCAGCATAAAAGAGAGCAGGTCAGACAGAATTATGCACATAAAATCTAAATTCTACATTTTTCCACAGAGTGTGAGCTCACCAAGGCCTTAGGGCCTGACACTGTTCATAAAGCCTTTCAACCTGACTATTTTAGAAACGCTACTCTCTTCAACCTGTCTCCTCCCTTGCTAGGTTTGATGCAAGGTCTTCTTTCTGAAATGCAGATAAACATATTTTTTATTGAAAGTGCTACCTTAAAAACGCACACTTTTAATAGGTCTACAACGCAATGTGCAATATGGAGGTGTGTGCCCGTCTCTGGGAACCCTAATCCTAGCAGGAGCCCAGCACACATAGATCTCTGTATGCAAGGGATCTGATCATTGCACCATATTTATTAGCGTGAAATTAGAAAAGAGTACAGACAGGATGCTAGACAAGTAGCAGCTGTGCGTTCAAGAATTACATGGATTCCTGCCAGCCCGTTGTAGGCATTATGAAGTTGTAGTCTTGGCATTAGGCCAGTGAGGCCATAGTGATTTTTCTGAAGACCAAGAATGGAGACATGTGCTTCCTACAAGACATCTGACACTCTGGCTAGTGCTGAGTTGTAAAGCTTGCGTGCGAGATCATTCATAATGGGAGGCATTATAGTCCTGATTCACTCCAAACCACCTTTAGTAGCTCTAGCATCCACATTATGGCAGATTTTCAAGACCATTTTGTCATCTAAGGCAGTGGTGCCCAACCTTTTTTGACTAGTGTACCCCTTTAAGCATTTTCTTTACCATTAGTACCTGTCTCAGTCAATAGCCTAAATGTTTGTCCTGAAGTGGAGTGTACAATAAATCATAATACAATAAAAAGAAATATAATATTTTTTACTGGAGCATTTAATTATTTGGCATGTTGTTCTTTCCAACTCAGATAAAAAAAACAATATAAATATGTTTCCTGGAAGCTAGTGAGGAATTAAAATAAATACAAAATAAAATCATACTATAAATCTGCCTTTATAAAACTGGAGGAATTGGGAACAAAATACAGAACAAAAATTATAGTCAAACTGACTCCATTTGTTTTACTTAGTTTTCATCAATCATGACACCTGAGCTTGCTTTGATCAGGTGTGAGAAAACAACTGATCCAAGGATGTCCTCTACATCCAGTCTATTCTACGGCTTGGTTTTGATCTGTTTCAAAGCTGAAGGTGAACTCAAACATACAAGAAAACCTTGCTTTTTGGTTGAAAATAAACTTTTTTATTTTTTAGCAAAACAGATCTCAGCCCTATTTTATTTTATTGCCTGAAAAATACAATACTTTCATGAACCCCATGCAATACATTTGCAGACCACTAGTGGTACGAGTACCTCGGGTTGGGAATCACTGCTCTAAGGCATTGGAGAAGAAGAGAGAACAAAACTAGAATAAGTAGTTAACTTGAATGGACACCAACCAACAGGGTACAAAAAAGAAAAAAAACTGCTGTAGGACTTGTGGAATTTCTTAAAGTAGGGAAACGGCCGTTCCAACCGTTGCATTTCCGAATTCTCCTGAGTGGTGCCCGACTTTACACGAGTGAATAAAGTGAATGTGATTGGTCGATCATCAAGGGGGTGGGATTGTTGTGGCGGAAGGTTTGCAAGTTTAATTGTGACCAGTTTCTTCGAAGCATCTTGCTAACCAGTTAGCAACTTAGTGCTAGTAGGTTCCCAATTGGAAATTCCATTGGGACCAAGTAGCACTAAATTGGTGACTTAGAAACAACACTGTCAAGGAACGCTATGGACAGCGGAAACATGCAAGGGGAGAGATTTGTGTCAGAGGTCGTGGATGAGTCTCCTCCGTCATACATTTTTATTTAGAGGAAAAAAGTGGGGACGAAGATGTGGAAGAGGACGCCAGAGCGGCAGAAGCTTGGTTTGGTGTAGAAGGCTTACAGCCGTACATGTTTGAGCCCTTGCCTCGCAACGCTGCCAGTTCTGTTAGCTCTATGCCTGCTGAAGACACAGACGTCCATCCCCGTGAACACTGGGACGGAACTCAAGAAAATAATGATTCTTATTTCAACCGTTGCGTATTTAAGCTGCAACATATGAATCAAGATGCTATGACCGAAAAATTTTTGTTGACAGAANTCACATTGATTCCTGTTATCTTAATTTCTTCCAAATAATTCAAATCAAAAAGAGCAATCTTTAACAAGTACGTTCAGACAGGTAGCACCAGGGGATCACATCAGGAGGAGCTTCTTTCGAAACTCAACTCAAACTCCTTTTGCCAAAGAGTTCAAGAAGGAATGAATGAACCTAAAGCCTAAAGTCTGCAATTTTCAGCATATGAGAATTTAGTTCTTATTGTGGTTGCTGACTAAACATGTATCTGTGCCCCTCCGTGCACACAGGGGTTCTCTTAAAAGGAAACCCCACCACAAAAATCATCATTAAGCAAAAGTAATGGAAACAGAGAAACGTGATGGAAAGGAAGTGACTCAGAGTAATACTGCTTTTGTCTGTGGCACCAAAATGCTCAGTTTTTCTGCCCCCCAAAAAATCCCCTTTTATATTTCTTATTATGCCTTGCATTGAATATCTGACCCAGTTTACAGCTGGCATTACAGAGAGCAACCTCAAACAGTAAAACAGCCAGCACAGCAAAGCCACCATGTTTGGTGGATACATTTCCTTTCATTGGAAACCTGGTGTTTGGCTTTTTAACATAACAATCATTAATATAACAGTGGAGAAATATATTAATTAGGAGTTCCTTAAAGTAAGGCCAGAATATTCTATTTAGATGTAGAGCAACGGCTTTAACGTTAAATAAAATATCACTCATGTTTACATATGGTTGAAAACATTGCAATTTTTTCATAAAGACAGTTCTCAGTCCTTTTATTTACTTAGGCAGCAGCCTAAAATTAGTAATTTTTGGTTTCATAGTTGGAGGAAACTGAATAATTTTCTTTTTTTAATAATCACTGATCAGACGTTTCCAGTCAATACCGATGTTTAGATGACATTTTGGACTGACTGTATATATTTTTTAAAGCAGATGCCACAATAAAGAGGTCAAAATGTTTGACGGTTCTCTGATAGAGATTCTGTGTCAACATCCAATGAAAAACGACGGAATTACAAGTTTTAACCCAGACATTTTTATTAAAGCACATTCCTAACCTTTAATGATTTTTACTAAATAAAAAAAAATTGCATCAAATAACTTGTTTTTGTTTGGTGCCTTTATACACTGATTAAAAGTAGGAATTCTTAAGTTTTGTAAAAAGAGAAGAAATGAAAATGATCTGTACTGACTGGACTACAACAGAGGACAGCGAATCAAGCGAAAATGAACGTATATCAATCTCTGGTTAATATATTGGTGCATCTCTTTTTAAAATGGATTTGCATTACTCCAACAAATGCATGGTCACATGGCAGCTTTTTATGGAAACAGTTTTCTGTTTTTGTCTTAAACGTCACAGTAACCCGACGTTGTGTTATGAAGTGTTTAAATCCAGCATCTTTGGCAGAATATCTTTTTTTGGGGGGTAAGGGAGGAAAAATCAGTTTTTAATACCAGCCAACGGTGTAGAAATTGATTACGTTTACATTAAGGTTTCGGAAAGACGTAAAAAAAACTCGAAAAAAGGAAACTATCTACTAAAAAATTGTTTAATATGTCTGCAGCCGATTCTGGCTAGGAAAGGAGCGGGACTTATAAGGAGGTACAGTAGAGGGTCGCCTGAATGTATCACAGCAGAGTTTCTTAGGATTATTGGGTCTTTTAATCTTTGCGTATCGTGGGAAATGCTGGGGTTGGAAATAGTGGGCACTGATATGTTTCTTTTTATGCATGTGTGAATTTGTGATCACATGGCTGATAATCACTTTAAAACTTTTCAGTTTTCGGTTTAGTCATAAAAGAAACTCTGCTTAGTGTTAAACAACTCAGGAAGTGATTGGGTTTAACAAGTGTGGAGAAAATAGTAAGCAGCTACAGCATGGATGTAACTTTTTTTTGACTATTTAGTTTCGGTAGATATGACTGGCGGCGAGTTCTTTCCCCCAAACTTATCAGCAATAAAACAATGTCAGCAGTTTCTCAGATTCGCAAAAACTGTGTTGTTTTAACAAAGCTTTAAAATGAAATATTTAGCATGTCTGACCTGTGTGATGGCAGGGGAGTGTGTCATTCCCAGAGAATGCCCGCTGAGATGCTGGTGCTGGTGGTGCGGGCTGTGCAGCCCTCCCAGATGCGCCTGACTGTGAAGAGGAGGGCTGACCTGGAGAGGAGGGGTGGACGCCGCTGCCACATTGCTGAGGGACAGGGCTCCCTGATGGGGGACGCTGGCCCGTGGCACTGTCCCCCTGGAGGACAGAGCCTGCAGCTGGGGATGGATCTGGTGGTGACCAGGGGGTATGTGCGGGCCGAGCCCGGGGCTTGAGCAGTGGGAAGGGTGTGACGGGTGGGTGTACTGCATGTACATGCCTGGGTGCTGGTGGGGAGGGAGAGAGTGAGAGTGGGTGATTGAGCCGGGGGAGGAGTGCTGACCTGGGTGACCAGGATAAACTGAAGGTTTGGGTGTGAACATTGAGGTAGGAGAGGGGGAAGAGTTGGAGGCAGAGTGAGGGGCTTTCATCTCCGATGGGTCATTATAACTCTGCAGAAAGAAAAGGAAGATTTAGGCCAAACTCTCCTTCAACAATCAACATCAATTATTGTTTAAATCCACCAGAGAAATCAGACATTTGCAGATAATTTTCACCTTGATCTCCAAAGGTTATTTTCCAAATCAATTAATATGTTGATAATTTTTTCAGTTAATCGATTGATAATCGGATAGCTAAAGGTTCCTTAAAGAAGATTTTTTTAAGAACATAAACCAGGTGAAACTAAAACTTCTCCACTTGAAGGGTTCTTGATAAAGCATATTGACAGGCAAAAGCATTGTTTTATCTTAAACGCAAAATGCTCATATATTTTTTTTTTACAATTTTGATATAATTACTGCTCTAAGTGGGTCGTTCTGACAGCTAAAAGCATATTTTACAGTCTCCAGTTCACCAATAATCGATTACTAAATTAGTTGACGATTAATTGTTTCAGTCCTAATATATATATATATATATATATATATATATATATATATATATATATATATATATATATATATATTTTTTATCTAGTAGCAAAATCTGTTCTCTAAATAAGTAACTGAGTGCAGACGTACCTGTGAGACCAGACTTGCTCTGTAGGCAGCCAGTTGCTTCAGATATTCCTTCTTGGCTGTTTCTGTCCTTTTCTTGTACACCTGAAACACACACCAAAAATATGAGAACCCGTTCATGACGTTAACAGGTATGAACACTCTTTATGACATATTCAATATCCTAAACAGCTTTTACTGAGTTTCAGTTTTAAAAATCAGAATTACAACTCGAATAATTCATCATAATAATGTAATAATCTTGTTTAAGCATCAAAGGGCTTATTCTATTAAACTGACACTTTAATAACAGATTAGTTTAATTATGCATTCCCAAAACACCCTCTGCGGTGCTTCTTTGATTCTGAACGCTTTTACTTTGGCGAATGTGTCACTTAGAGGAGCTTTGACTGTGCAGTGATGACTGGCGGTCCCACCGGTATTGTTATAGTTTATGTTTTTGTGCAAAACTCATCCTTCCTGTCACAAACATTGTGTCGCTGCTCATTTCCCATCTAAAGCATCCTGCATTTGTTTCCCTTTCATGCTTTCACTGAACAGTATAAACATGTTTTCTCTCACAGGGACATGAAGCTGCGGTGATTGAGAGAAGCAGCACAGATACAAGGAAAATATCTTGTAGCTTTGGAAAGATTAGAGCAAAAGCTTTTAAACAGCTATCAACACAATAGATGCTGCTAAGAACTTATATACTTCTTATATCTTCATTTTTCTTTATTAATTTTTCAAAATTATTTAATTATTTGGAATTCTTCTTAAAATGATGCTAATGTTTAGATTATGTTTATTAATGATCAGAGCCGAATTCAAGCTGGTAAAAGTTTTTTTTTTTTTTTTGTATAGCAACAAAGGGAATCAAGACAATTTTTTGCAGTCAACATGTAATTCAAACATTTTCTTAAATGAAAATAAACCAAAACAAAAAGATCTGCTCATAGTTGGGAAGTTAGAGCAAATTAAAATGGGTGTTGCTATTTACTGAAATGGATATAAATAGGTTACAATACCCCAAAAGTTAAAGGCAAACTAACACAAAACGTAGTAAAACAGTGGAAGGAGGAAGAAAAATTAAACCCAAGGAAAAGTCTGTAAATACACTGAAAGAAAAGAAATCCAAAACTAAACAGAAGCAACTAAACAAGCAGAGCAGATTTAAAAGGGAACTTTTTAGCCATTTGTCATCATTTCCTTTGGAGAGTGGCAGTAAGGCCTTCTATGGAGCTAAATCAATGACAGCTTGTATCAAATGTGACACTAAAAAACTAAATTTCAGTGTTTGAATTTTCATTGCTTTTATTTTAGATGCTTAAATTTTCAGTGTTAAGTTTTTCAATGCCAAATCTCGCGTTAAACGTCAATGCAAGCTGTCACTGATTTACCTTCCAAACTCAAAGAGCTTCTCAACAAAGATGAACTCTCAGACACTAAGGTTACATTTTATTATAACGCCCTTTTAATGGTACAGAGGACGATCTTTTATTTCCAGGTGGATCATCTCAATAAGTGGTCCTCCTAATTGTCAATCTTTCTGGTGATATGTTTCATTAGGCAGTCCAACGTGTTAGCCCCGTTAGCCATCTTTTTCTGCGTATGCGCACTTTCAGGTGTATACATTTGTTAAGCTATGGTTTCAGACAGTCATTGAAGCTCACCTTTCTCATTGCGATTTTTGAAAATGGCAGAGGGTCATAAGTGAAAAAGTGTCTACTAAGTGTATGAGAAGAAAAGAAACGCCTCAGAAGATATATCCCAGAATGCTTTGCACGGAGAGCTCTCCTTACAAAGAATTATGGGATTTGCTGTCACAGCGACCTGTTGTTGCCATAGGATGTCACTACCCAACAGTGGCGACTAATAACAAAGATGGCGCCGCACACCGTACAGTGGAGGAGGAGTTACGTGAACAACGGGGAGCAAAAAGCAGTGATCATCTGTCTGAACGGTCAATTAACCGAGTTTGCTATAAAGTCTACAATATAGTCTCCGCTGTATATAGTGATTGAGGGATTTAGGGGTTAGGGCGGACGTTCGGACACTAAGTTTATATGAGCTATGAGATCAGGATCTTTTAAATAGAGCGTGCATGAGAAGGAATGGTCTTGTGCATACTCTTGTACACGTCAAATAGACGTTCCCTTTTGGGAGCAGGTACAGGGTTGTGCATGTGCATATTTTTTTTACAGTGGAGAGGGCGGGTCTTTAAAAAAATTCACAGAAATCGTCCACAATAAATTTCATTGTAGTTTAATTTGTCATTTTGCTAATACACAAATGACAAGCACTACTAATTAGTACTTTCATTCATTGTATGATTTCCTGATTTCTTTGTCACTTCTGAGTATTTAAATTCAAATTAAAAAACATATTTTAGAATAAAGTCAAAACAGCTTAATGAAAATTTTCTCAATTTCCCTGCTGTTTACAGCTCTACCTGTTTCTGTTCCTCTCCCAGGCCATCCCACATGGAGGCCACGATCTTTGAGACCTCTCCGAAGGTGGCGTTGGGGTTTTGAGCCTTGATGTTGGCCTGAGTGTCCCTGAAGAACAAGGCGTAGGCTGACACCGGCTTCACTGGCTCGTTGGGATCCTTTCGCTTCTTCTTCTTTGGTGTTTTGGGTTTCTTTGAGATGTCCACTGCAGCAGGCCGCTTTTCTCCCTGCAAAGATGCAGCAGAGGCAGACTAAGATTCAGAGAGTGTGCAGACAAGAAGGTAGAAAGGATGAAAGCATTCATATCTGGAGCAGAAATTCACTTATAAATAAAATGATGAAATTAAAGCAAAAAATAAAATTAAACAGGCTCTCATTTTAATTTAATGATAAAGAAATAAAGTTTTTCTGGTAACATAACCTTCACTGTGACCTCAGCTTTAACTGCTTGATGCTGTTAGTCAACAGTTAAAATGAATCATGGGGGAACTCCCAACCAGTCAGCAGAACTGCTCAACCTTTTCACACTGAGTAAAATTGTTATTATTCCTCCTTGAACAGTGAACATTTCTAATGGCATAACAGCTAAAATTTCATGTCAGCAACAGTTGGAGGCAACCCTTGATCAGCTCTGCTCTAAAGCGCTTCAGTAGCCTGCAGAACAACCTACAAAATGAATATTTTTAAAGACAAACAATAGAAATTGAATTTCCCTTTGGGATTAGTCCAGTATTACTGAATACAATGTCGACAATATAATATAAATTATCATATTATATATATTTTTTTTATTTCTCTTTTCTTCACTTTTCTTTCTGCAGGTGTTTTGTAACTTTTAGTTAGTTGAATTTATTTTTTAGGATTCTTTATTTAGACCTGCAATAATATCTGAAAATTTATTTTAACAAAACACTTTATTGCTTAATTATATTCAACTTGCTTAACAGCTTTTGCAACATGAATAGAAGTCTGTTGATAGACTAGACTGTTTGGCTCTGGCTTATGTATCAAGTGCACTTTACTTAAAGTCAATGCCTTCCTATATTATATAGATACAAACAATCCAACGGGGGAGGTGGGCTGCAAGTGGATCAGTAGATGTCACAACAACTAGTTGATTATAACTGATGAGAAACATAAAAAAAAACTTCATGTGCAGAAATCTTGCAGGTTTAAAGAGAAGACTGGATGTCTGGAGGTTATTTAGTTTGTTACAGTGTTTCTAGCCCTGCATGATGGGGATTCTAGTTTAAACATAATGGCTCTAATAGCCAACTCATGGAACAAATTAATTTGGCTGATTTGTTTCTAAGAATAAATCCAAAAGGAGCGGAATAACAGGAAGAAACAATACATGTAAAAACTTAAACAATTGTACGTTTTAAACCCTAAAAATAAAAATTTAAAATATTCTTTCTTTTATTCCCCAACTCCATATAATTACTCCACAGTTTAGTCTTGATTAATTTTGCACTTTATCACAAACTGTTATTTTTCCTAAATCTAAGTCATTAACGGATCGCAGAATTTTATTTCCCAACAAAATTGAAAGTTTAATAATATACTTAACCAACTATTTCCTCAGCCTGAGTCATCAGTGTAAAGTTGAACTATTTGCATTGTGGAACTGGTGAAGCCACGGAAAAAAATTTGTTATAATAATAATAATAACAAAGTAAAACAAATAAAAACAGACTGTGTTTATCTTCTCTTAATTGGCTTTTAAAACTTTAAAACCGATTAGCTAAAGCTTCAGAAAATGTACTCATCATTCAGAAGGACTACTAATAAGACAAGAAATACACAAAAGTTTAATAAATTATGGAACAAATATAAAGAACAAAATGATATCAGGAAGAATTTATGACATGAATATTTTGAAATCCCCAAAAGACACACGGACACTGTGTTTTAACCTCAAAGGATGTTGTTCCCATATTGATAAATCAAATTAAAAATACACAGAGAAATTGGCTGCTGATTAAAACCAGCAGGTTTCCATCTTGAAAAGGTCCTAAACAGATAATTACAAATATTATTTTCCTTGCTGACAGTAAACAGAGTATCTAACAGTCAACTATACAACACTCTTTGGTGAAGAAGTTATGACCAAGGGATGAGATTTAAGTTTGCTGTTAAGAACTCGTTTGCATTCTCTGATATTTAGAAGTCTCAAATATAAGAAAAAGGTCTACCTGTTGTACAAAAACAACCGAGTCTGCTGCATATATTTACTAAAACTAGTTGTGCCTCACATGCCAATTGCTAATACTGTTAATAGCTAATGCTATTGTTAATAGAATAGAAAATCCTTTTATTGTCCTACAATGGAGATATTCTGGTGTTTACAGCTGCAAAAATGATTATAGAAAAAAATTGTCACAAAAATGTGGATCTTAGAAAAGTGTATAAGAATGACATAATAGTGAAGAGTTAAAAGATAAACAATAAAATACTGTACTGTAAAGTGTTTTAACAATATAAAGCTGTGCACCTGGAGAATAAATAGCCAATATACAGCTATGGACATTTTTACAGTAATGGATATTTGAAAATAACAGCAATATCAGAGATGTGCAAAATTAGAGCAGCATGTTATTTAACTAAGATTGAAAATGTGCAAAATCAGCATAAATATAACAACTTGTAATAGTTATAAAGTCTTATAGTTGCTGGGAGGAAGGATCAGTGATAACATTCCCTGGTGCATTTAGGGTGTAAAGCAATGTAAATGACGCATAAGATTCTCTGCAACATGTAAATAATGATTTTTTTTTAAGTTTGCATAAAGTGTGAACACTATAGGTAAAGAAATGTCCATTTATAAAAAAAAGTAAAAAACAAAACTGCCCTGGGTTAGGTGCCTAAGAGCACACTTTGGAGGTGGTGGTTTTATTTAGCTTTTATTTCACATTAGCATTTTACTTCTCCTGAGAAAATTGCAAGATATTCTTGAGCAGTAATGGTTTCATTTTCCAAGAATATGAAGAGTCAGTTGGGTGCAGAAAGCTTGTTTCCATGTGACACAGCGAACAGTAAGGGAGCTGATTTCTATCTCGTTGATATGCAGAGAGAATGGGTCTGTTATGACACATAACATCATAAGTCCCCTCTGCCTACACACACACATACAGCATAATAAGTATGGTGGTTACATGTCTCACTGTTCGCAGCTTACTGAAATATTGTGAAATGAGTCACAGACAGCAGCCTCTGAGTCCGTTTCTCAGTTTGTAAGGAGCGAATGTGTTTTGTGTTTTTTGTTTATGTTTTTACCCTGACTCCATCATCGTTGTCATCCTCATGGGCTGAGCTGGGAGGGGACGGCGTGGTGGATTTACTTCCAGGAGGTGAAGGGGAATTATGGGTAGCAGGGTTCCCATTTAGCCCCAGCTGAGATTGGTTGATAGTGGACAGCTGGTTCTGTTGGCTCAAGCCTGATTGGCTCCTTGGTCCAAGTGCTGCTTTGATTGGCTGCTGGCTGCTGGTAAATCGAGAATCGGAGTTCACCATCTGCTGCATCTGAGCAAAGACAGGAAATCACAATAACAGAAAATTATTCAATCCATAAGGTCTTGATAAACCTTGCTTTTTAACATTTTTTGAGCAACAAGTTTCAGTGCTTTTGAAGTTTCTAAACTCCCTAAGTAGATACTGTAGAGTGAAACTGAAGAAGGTTCTCTGGTCAGTTAATGTGAAACCTCCACTCTTATATCCATTATAGCATCTGTATTGATTTTGATGCTTGAGCTAACATTGAAAAAATCAAAATAAAGATGAACTTAAGTTGATAAAGTTCATATATATTTCTATCAAAGATGAACTTTGGTGTCATTCAAGCAGACAAATGCAAAGAAAAATTGGTACTATCCACAGAAATACAATAGAATTTAGCATGCAAATGCTGCTGCATGTCACCCACAATGCTTTTCCTCAGCAGAGACAGAAAAGTTGGTCACATATATATATATATATAGGTGCATTCTAGCACAGATCATGAAATATGTGTTTAGAACAGTAGATCCAATAACAGTTATACATACAGGCCATCAATTGTCCTTAGCTGTCATTAATGACAATTACTTAACTGGTTGGCTTCTTAATGTTAATATAACAATAGTATCAATAGGTTGCATAATTACACAGTCTTGTAGTTCAGCGAAAAACTGTTTTTAATAGCTGAAATCCAATTTGAAATCAGACTAAATTGGATCTGATCTGAAAAGAACTGATTCTTGATATTTGTTTATATGTTAATCCATATACCTTTTTCTTATAAGTTCAGATGCACCAATCCAATACCTGAATCAAATATCGGCTCTGGTATTGACTAATTAGCTGGATAAGATGTAGGATTAATAACGTCAATCTAACATTACCTCAATAATAACCACTTTACAGTGATCTACAGGCAGCTGCTATACTTCATATTACATTCTGAAAAATGTGTTTGCACTGCAACATAGAAGTAGTATTTCCTTTTAATGCTAATCTACATTTTATCAATAAACGGCATCTGTAAACAATGTTTCTGTAATGCCTAATGCTTTCACTTACATGGCAAGGTATGTGCTTCAGTCATTCATTGGTATGAGGGCTGTAACTAACAATTATTTTGCAAATCATTTAATCTGTTGATTATTTTTTTCATTAATAAATTAATAATTGGTTATAAAAAGGCTTTTTGCAAAATTAAACCAGGTGAAAAAAACTTTTCCCCATGACGAGTTCTGGATATTGCATACTGACAGACGAAAAGATTTTAATCTTAAATGCAAAATATGCACATATTTTATGCAATTTTGGTATAATTGCTGCTCAAGGTGGGTCGCTGTCAGCTAAAGGCTTATTTTAGTCTCGACACTCCAGTTAAAGTTTAATCCATTTTCTGTAATGCTTATCCCAAGCAGGGTCGCGAGGGGTGCTGGTGCCTAACAATTAATCGATTACTAAAGTAGTTAACGTTTTTTTTTAATAATCGATTCTTCCAATTTATTATTTCAGCCCTATTTGGTATTGGAAGATGCTGGATTGGTGTATATCTTCTTTTAACTGTATGTAAGTCATTATTTCTATTGAAAAGCAAGCATTTTTTTACGTGTATATTCCTTTTTAAACTTAACATTTAAGTAAATCTAAAAACTTACATAAACAACAGCAAGCACATAATAAACCCTTGAATTAGATAAGAAACCTCAATGGAGTCAAAGAACACTTTAAATAATTGCCCCTAAAATAACATACATGCTTTCCGATTCTTGTTTAGTTTCTGAATGTTTATACTGTAGTGCAAGCTCATTTATGAGGATAGATGTGTGGAGATACTGGAGATCAAAGCGAGTCTACAGATAAAAGAAATGATGTTCATGATACAAATGGTTATCAAAAAGTTAATTAAATCTTTTTCCAGCGTCACCAAAAAGCTTTTCTAGTTTGCCTTCAAATCTGACATTAATCTCCGATTCTGTGCTGCAATGAAAGAGAGTCAGAGGTGTGTGACATGCTCATCATGTAACAGACCTAACTCTAAACCCAGTCCGCCTGTGCTTGCCAGGGTTTGTGCAGCCGACCAGGATTCACTAATAATGAAATCTGATAGTAACCGTGGCAACAGGAAATACAGGTCTGAGGTAAAGGCAGGATGAGAAGTCATTTAAAACATCAATTCCCATTTTCCCACTCATGTGTAAGTACATCAATAGAGCTTTTTAAACCCCATTTGCCACACTCCAGAGAAGTGGCAACGTATCTGGAGGAGACGGCGAGTCCACAGGTGCAGACTGAACAAACACCGACAAGTTTATTCCAGGCGCCTCCGGGGCCGAGGTAATTTATCAGAAAGATGTTTACTGCGGGATGTAAAGTAACCAGACAGCTCCGTCCTCACTTTTACTGTCACACCTGTGTCACGAATACATAATGCTTTATTGTCTTTTAAAACAAAGGTTTCAATAAAATTGGATGGCACTTCAGATAAATCTCTGGTAAATGCTAAAGGCTTCAACTGATTTACGAATATAGAAACCTATTAATAAAGCTTTTATGAAAAAATAAATAAATCAAAATAAGATGGGCGGTAATTAAGGTGTAATTCACATTCTGTTGTAGTTTCACAATGAAATTAATGCATTAGTGTCATTCAAGCAACAAAGGAGTCAAACATGTAGGTGGTTAGATGTTATCATGAACTGAAGGAGTGACTTTCATAAACACATTAGATATAAATGACCTCAATCTAACGCACACATAGTAACATTACATAGTTGTTCTACACTAATTTTAGACCAAGAAAACCACAATAAGTTTAATCGAACAACTATGAGGCGGATGTTGTTAAATATATAAATCAAGTTAATGAGTGAAATTCTCCTGCAGCTGTTCTTGGTAAAGTTATTCCATTTTCATGAAAATAAAGCAGCCGGTCATGCTGTAGTTTGATTGCATCATTGTTCTGCTGTTTTAAAAGGTTCACAACTAAAACAAGAGGCAGATCATTTGCACTGTAGTGACCAAGGTTCACACCCTGACTTCTTAAACTATTCACACCCCTTAATTGCTGTAATTTCACACATTTTGACACCATCTGTAATTTATTCTTAGTATAAAATCAGCTGTTTTATGAAGGCCTTGAAGGTTTGTTAGACAACAGTAGAACAAAGAAGGATTAATAAGGCCGAGGCACACAGGAGACAGAGCAGAGAGAAAGCTGTAGCGAAGTGAAGTTGTAAAACAACATCCCGAGCCGGTGAAATCTCACAGAGCTCTGTGCAATCCATCCTCTGAAAGTGGAAAAAGGATGAAGTACAAACAAGACGTGAACATCCACATAAACTGACAGGCTGGCCAAGGAGAGCATTAATCAGAGGAGCAGCCGGGATCTCAGGATAAATCTAGAGCAGCAGCTTAGACACACAGCAAACCTACGCTGAACTCCTCAGTGAAAAGTAGTGGCTGGAGCATGCTGTGGGATGGATTTTCTTCAGCAGGGACAGAGAATCTGCTCAGAGTGGATTATAGGGTGAATGGAGGTAAATACACGGTAATAATGAAATTAACACTCGGGCTAAAAACAATTAATCTGATAAATTGTGATTATTGAAATAATTGTCAACTAATTTAGTAATATATTAGATAAGATAATTAAATGGAGTTTGCCTATAGCTGACAGAACAATCCTATTTTGAGCAGCAATTATACCCAAGTTGTTAAATAAATATGTAAGCATTTATATTCAGGATAAAAAAATATTTTTCTTCTGTCAATATACTCTATTCAGAACTCCTCAAAAGGAAAAGTTTTAGTTTAACCTGGTTTAATTCTCAAAAAGTCCTCCTTAAAGAACCTTTTGCTATCTGATTATTAATCAATTACCGTAATAAAAAAATAATCCACAGATTAATTGATTTGCAAAAATAATAGTTAGTTGCAGCCCTAATTAACATCCACACACAAATAAAAATACTGTTTTCTAGCAGAACAGCAGAATACAAAGCAGATCTGTTGTGGAATGAAGATCCGTAAGAAAGGTCCAATCAAAGTCCAGACCCAAATTCAATAATCTGTGAGACAGTTTGAGCATTTTTGTTCAAATGTGAGCTGAAGGTGTTTAAAATTGATTTTTAGATGTGCTAAGCTAATAAAAAGATACACCACATGCCTGCAGCTTTAACAAAGATTAGTACTTCTTAAATGAATGGGATGTTTTATAAAGGCAGCTGGCCATGGTGTGTTTTATATAAGGAACTGATAATAAGGGGGGAATGGAATACAAATGTAAATCAGTAAAATAATAAGAAAAAAAACTCAAATATTTTTTTATCATGCCTGATATCCTACATTATGTTCCTAAAAAGGTCCACCGAGGTCACCATCATTCTAATCTTCTTCAGACCTTTTTTTTTAGCTTACTTTTTGTTTTCTAAAGAAAAAAGTGGTCAAATGGGAAACATGATTTCTGTACTTTTTGACCCCAATCACGTTCTCAGCCTTAAGTTCAGCGTTAAAAGGCATTCAGTGAAGGCGAGGGATCTCTGTTTGACTCAGTCAAGTCAAGCTAGACCCTGTCCACTTCTCAGGAAAACAAAAGTTAAAATACATTCCCCATGTGAGTGTTTTGACACCCTTCATCACAATTAAAGGATGACTTTTGTGTATTTTTTAAGTTTCCTTTCAGCGTCGAACAATAACGGATGTGGCGGGTGGGCGGGCGGACGAGCTGTGCCCCACTCAGGAACCTGCAGCGGCCTGCGAGCGCTAATGTGGTAATTAGATGGAACTCAGGGGGACATTTCTTCAACATGAGAAGAGGTTGTAACTAATACTGATGGAAATTGTGAAAAGTGGTATCTGTGGTTTTTGGTTTATCGAGCAAAACATTCATTTGCCACATGGGTTAAATAATTGAGAAAGGAAGCGCTTGAGATACCTATAATGAAAGGGCAACTTAAAAGGTCAAAATGTTGACATTAAGAAATACCTGTTTACTGAAAACATGTATTCTGTTTATTACAGTGACTTAAACC